AGGTGGGTGTTGGGGGGGTGGGTGTGGGGTGTTAAACACCCCTCCAAACACTTTCAGGATAGGACTTTACTGGATGAAAGTAGTAAGGACACGATACCTTTGTTATCAAAAATGTGTAGGCTGATAGTTTTGCTTCTTTACTGAGTGAAGAAAATAATGAAACTCTAACAAAATCCAGAAAACTTAAGTGATGAAGTGACTCAAAAAAAGCAGCTACCCATTAAAAGTTTTGTCTGCTCTCTTGTTCTTTTATCATCTGGTCTATTTCTTATAGGTATTGATGGCCTACATGTTGGGTATAATAGAAGCCCTGGACACAATCCAGATATGACTGGAGGCTGGTTTCGTTTTGAACCTCCTGTGATGTGGCTTCATGCATTGCTAGGCGGGCAGCAGCTTGACGCTGCCAAAAGGAGGAGGGAAGAATCTTGCTTGCCTGGCTTTTGGCTACACGGTCTTACTTTATTCTTGTGTCAGGCTCAGTGCTCCTGAGAGGCTCCCGTGAGCTGATTTAATTTGCTAAGAGGACTACCAAGGGTTTGTGCATGTGTGTGTAGTTTTCTGGAGGCGTGCTGCTGTGTTTGTCTTCCAGTTCTAGCAACCTAACTCCACTCAAAGACAGACCCTGTGAGGACTAAAACTGGTATGGGAAGGTGTTAGGGGATACATAGCAGCTGTGTGTGAAGGCTTGGAATAGTTCTTCCTGTTACTGAATTCAGCTGTGTCTAATGAAGCCTTGTGGCCTCATCATTTTAATTGTGTCTCTAAGGAAGACCTGAGATTGTATTCTACAGTCCTTGAGCTGTGGTATACTACATCAGTCCTCCTTTTTACTGTTTTCTGTACTTGTGTAAAGACTAGTATGTCATGGTCGTACAATGGGAATTTTAGGAATCCACTGGAGGACTTCTAGCACTCGAGTAGTGTGATTTTTATTTTTGCATGCAATTATCCCAGAACAGACAGGATGCTGTGTAGGAAAGATTCCCTTGAGTGGCTGGTGTATCTTGGTGAGAACTCTGGGTTTAAAACAACGGTCAGTTTGGGAGGCTCTCAGCAGCTCTCAGACCAGACAGAAGTAGCAGCATTCCCTGAATAAGAGCCGGAGTTGACTGTTCAGTAGAGATGATAATCTTTGCATGTGCTTTTTGTTATTGTGAACCCCAAGATCTGTAGAAAAGTTGAATAATCTTGGCCTAATACATCTCTTTCTCTAGGGTGTTGAAATAAGTCTTGCTCTGTTAAATTCAACTCATGCTCTTCCAGGTATGAACTCGGAGGGCTTCAGTCAGTTTAGTGAAGGTAGCGGTGGATTAACATAAATCAGGACAAAGCAGTGAGAATGTACTGTAGTAGTTAGCCGCTCGTGTGCGTGATGCAGCTGAATTGTCTTGCTGCCTGGTTTTTTGGATTTTGTTGGGGTTTCTTTTCTGAATCAGGATGTGCTACTCATGGAAAAGTAATCAGTGGTGGGGTTTGGTAGAATCCTGTTTCTGCTGTGTGAAACAGGACATGTGATGTGAAAGGTACAGACATTTTAGGCATATTAGGCATAATACTGCATGCCTGACTGTAGGACTAGTAAGTGACCGTGTAATTAGAGGGCATATGCATTGGGACCTGACAAGAGAGTTACACTTGTAACTTTTATCTTTTTTTCCTAATTCTTGCTATATTCTGACTTACCCTTCTTGCTAAATTTTAAAGTAGTATCTGATCTATTGCAAAAGCATACCAAATATTTAATATGCTACTAAATTATAAAGCTAGTTAATAACTAATGTTTGTGTATTCTATTCTTTTTGCTTATTACTACTGCAGATTCACTGTACAGAGAGAGAGAAGTGTGGAAAAAGGGGGTTTAGGTAGCTGCTACCATACACCAGGTTCTAAACAATATGTGTAAGGCTTAATTGTGTTTATTCTAGCAAATTGTTCCATTAATTTTGCCAAGTCGTCGTCTTATGTCCTTTAGGAAATGTATCAAACAATAATAGTTAATAGTAACTGCCTAGTGGTTCCACAATGATAAAATAAAAATGAGTTAATGCTGTCCCTATGGACAGTTTCATCTGATCATATTCTGGCTGCTGATAAAGCAGATCTCAGACTTACTAGTTCTCTCTTGTGCTGCACAGAGCAAACAAATAGTCAGCACTTGGTGCATGCTGAATTTTTTTCAACATAAAGAAGCAGAAGTACTATACAATCAACAGTGCTAGAGATCAATGGCAGAGGAAATCATTGTTGAAATAATAAAGGAGCTGATCTTTTAATATAACTTTTTTTACTTTCAGTGGTAAGAGACTTCCAGGAATATATAGAACCAGGCGAGGATTTTCCAGCTTCTCCACAGAGAAGAAATACTTCATTACAGGAAGACAAAGATGACAGTGTGATTTTACCCCTGGGTGCAGATACACTAACATGTAACTTAGGCATTCCAGTAGTAGTAGTTTGTACAAAGGTTTGTTTCACATTTTAGGTTTTTTGTATGTTTTATTTAAGCAACTCTTGTCAATTGTGGATTCGGGGTGGGGAGCACATGGTTCTTAAGTCATTCTGAATACCTTTGATAAGAATTCTTTAAAAATGTTTAATGTTGAAGGTTGGTTATTTTCTGCAAGCCCTGACTGCATGTAGTTTGGGGGTAGTTTTTCCTTTAGTTATACCAGTTTTCAAGGAATTGAGGAATACCTCAGACCTGGTTTCGCTCATAGAAGCGAGCTAGTCAGTAAGCAACTAGAATTCCCCTTGACCTTCATAGTCCTCCTTATTTTGCAAATAGTGTTTTGGTAGGGTTTGAGTTTTTTTAATATTTCTGATCTTTTTATGAAGATTAATATATTTACGGGTTCTAGTTAGTGAAGTGCTGGTCTCTTAACTTTCCTCAGTTCTTAGGGTGTTTCTGTGATCTGTTTTGGTCTCTGTTAGATATGTAACCATATTCTTAGTCTAAAGAAAAAACGGTGTGGTTCTCTTGTGGCTGTTTTTTGTTTGGGTTTTTTGGGGGGTTTTGGTTTTTTTTCTTCCTGGCTCTTCAGTTCTCATTGGCATTAAGCATACTGCATCTGCAGCCTCTGCTGGCCCACAGTGAAAGAATAAACCTCTTGTTTGATGCTTATGCTGTTCCTTCACTGGTAGGCTAACCTTCTCATTTAAAAAGCACCTTTATTCTCACCTGCTAGCGCTCTGTTATTCTTCTCCCCACTTCCCCCTCCCCCCCTTTTTTTTTCTGCTTCCACATTCCTTGTTTTTGCCTCCCTTTGCAAAGGGCTAGTCAATAACTGCATAAAACCCACTGTCCTGTAAAACCACAGTGTGTTTAGAAAAACAAACAAACACCCCCCCACCCCCAGTAAACACATTGTGCAGAAAATGGTGGTGTCATTCAGTGGGTCAGTCTTCAAAAGAGAGTTTGAGTTTGCATTGGAGGGAGGGAGGGGGAGTGAATGAAAGACGGCAATCAGTTTAACTCCCAAGTTAATGCTGACCACAGTACCTGCGCATCAAGTTATATGTTATTTTTAAAAAATTGTCTTCCATTATGTTTCTAAACTATCTCAGCAGGTTTTTGTTTTTCTCTGCACCACCTACCCCACTCCATCCCCCTTGCCTAGTTGTGAACTGGACGTGTAGCAGCACTGCTATTTCAGCAGATAACTGAAAGTGGCATATTAATTTTGTGTTTATCTTGACAGTGTGATGCCATCAGTGTTCTAGAAAAAGAGCATGACTACAGAGATGAACACTTCGACTTCATTCAGTCACATATCAGACGGTTTTGCTTACAATGTATCCTTTAACACATCGTAAAGATGATACTGACTCAAATCTTTGCATTAATTATGACCAGCTTAAAAGAATATGTGCATCTGTACCAAAGTAGTATGTAACTCCTTTACTGTAGCTGGCAGTCTGCTTCAGCTACCCCCTAAGACAATGTTGAGTTAAATGTTTCTGTTTTCATGGTGGTTTGGTTTTTGGTTTGTTTGTTTGTTTTTTTTAACAGAGCTGCAAGAGTCTAGCATGTCCCCTTACCATTAATTTCTTTACTTGCCTTCATTTCTGTATTTAGGAGTCAGTTTGCAAATCGGCACATCTTAGCTGACAAGATCCCTAAAACAATAACAAGATAATTCATTTAAGTATGATCTTGTTTCAGATGCACATAAGGCGTGTTATTCTTTTTGACCCAAATATGCAGTCTGTTCAGTAATTCCACAGGATGAAGTGATGAGGGAAGGAGAGAAGTGTGAATTGCTGTAGGAAAGATCCACTGGCTGCTCTTGTGTTGGTACAGAGACAATGCACATAAGCTGTCACTGTGCAATTATTATTTTTAAACTTCTTTTTTTTTTTAAAAAAAAGAAGCATATAAAATACTGTTTCGTGTTGTTTAGTCAAACAGACATGCTGAGATCTAGATTTCAGATGCCAGTAATATGCCTACATTGTGTCATCATCATTTATGCTGTGGTAAAGGGAAGTTTAAATGCTATTGGAGAGACAGCAGTTAACAGATGGAAAAACTAGTTCAAGAACCTGAGACCTCAGTTGACTACCAACATGGCACTTCCTTCAAAAGGCTTCCAGGACCTAATTTTTAAAAAATGGAATTATGGGTAATTGTAACAAGCCTTGTAGATGGAGGAAGACTATGAAAGACTAGTAGGAGTTAGTCTCTGTGATTGTATGTGCCATGTACAACTTGAAATTCTATTCTAAACTTCACTGAATGGGAATCTGATCCCATTATGTAACTTTCTTCTAGAACTTGAATTCCATGCATGTAGAAATAAATTAGGGGATTTGGCATTTTTATAATTGCAAAGTAAAAAATACTCAAAATTCCGTGGCTGCTTTCATTAATCCTGTGTATACACTGTGTTAATTTGATACTGAACCATGCTGGAATACTAAGCACTCTTTTTGGTCTTTTAAGAACTGATACACAGCACAACTCATTTGCCTTCAGTCTGTTCAAAAGCAGATCACTGTGTAATGTAAGAACTTGCTCCCCTAATTTAAAAACCCAGGTGGGGAAGTAAAAGATCTTGGGCATTTTTGAGGCTACTAGTGTTAGTGCTGTAGTGTCTATGTTGCAGGATGTGATCATGACAAGATACAAGGATATGGCATGAAGTTTTTGTTCACTAAAAGCAGAAGGCAGTTTTGAAGGCAACATAGTAAAACCATTGGTATTGCAGGCTTTGAAAGTGAGGAGAGCCTGTACTTTACTCTAAAAGCAATAGCTGAGTTGGCCTAAAACAAATGCAGAAAGAAAGATTTAAATTGCTAAATAGCTGATTTCAAAAATTAAGTGTTGGAATTTTGACCTGTTTAATTTTGTATTCCCCCTCTAAATTCTGCAAAGTAGATAACCTTTAAACTAACAAAAAAGGGTCACTAGTATCTCTTACTAACCACTAAACTGAGTTTTCTTTAACAAGTTTATTCAGATGGGGCAGCACTTATTTACACTTCAGTAAAGGAGAACAAAAACATTGACTTAGTGTATAAATACATAGTCCAGAAGTTGTATGGATTTCCTTTCAATGTTCCGGCTGTTGTTGTGGAAAAAGATGCAGTATTTATGTAAGTTACCTGCATTCGTAAATCTATATGACTACAAAATGTGTTTGTGCAAAGACTGTGAAACAGCATTTAGAGCCTTTTTTGTTTATGCTTTTTGAAGTTCTGTTTAACATTCTCATCGGTTGGAGTTTGGCAAGTGCCAACGGATTGAGACTGCAAACACTCGCTGCCCCAAAGAGAAATGTTAAACCCAGAGATTTTGCTCTTTTCTGTTACGGTGAAACAATCTCTAACTAGTTGTACCAGTCAATAACTAGCTTGCACAGCAGAATGGGCACTATGACAACTTTCCTGCCTTTCAGTTCTGTGCAGTTCAGGACTGCATATAAGAATAACCTGAAGTAACAATAGAATTTAAAGCCAAATAATCCTTTATCTAGTCCTGCAGGTTGGGATAATGACAAGAAGATAGGAATATTGCACGAGAACTTTCAGACGCTAAAAGCAGAAGACAGTTTTGAAGATATCATAACAAAACCACCAGTTAGAAAGGTAAATTGAAATGTTTTGGCATTCAACTTCTTATCTAATTATTTACCTGTCAGTTTTTCGACTGTTTCTCTTTAAGACTTTGCTTCCAGTTTATCATGAGTGTGATAAACCATGTGGTTTTTTTCTTATTTTGTCTTTTTATTTTGTTCTTACAGTTCTTCAGTTATCAAAAAATCATTATGGATTTTCTGTATAGCTTCTGTATAGTTCTGTATATCTCTTCTGCAGCTTACACTGGGTTTTTTCTGCCGCTGTTACGTTGTTGAGTACTACAAATACACTTGCTTTGCTTTTAATACATACTTAGTATTGAAAAGTCTAAGTGTCATTTAACTGTTGGTCAGGTTGATTTAGTATTTTTTAAGAACACTCCATTTTTCTCTGAGTTGCTCATAACTTCATAATGCTTTCTGTCGCTATTGGAGTACTTAAAAGTAAACATTAACTTAAAGTAACTTAAAGTAACTTAAAAGTACTCCAATACTCCAAAGTAAAAAGTACTTACTCCAAAAGTAAAAGAAAGCTTGAGACAGTATAAAATCAAAAACAAACAGGTGAAAAAGGGTTCTACGTATATTCACTGTATTTTCTCTCTTATACTATTTAACAAAAGGTTTTGAAAGAACCACCTGAAAACACATGTGGGACTGTTGAACAAATGCCAGCAGCAGTGGGCCCCATGCGTACAAAAGTTACCAAGGCAAATATTTTTATGGCTTTCTAACAAAGCTAAGAATTTGGGACTTATCATATTTCTAAGTGTGAATTATTTTAGCTGAGAAAACTAATACTATGTCCCTTCTGCAATCCTTAGGGAAAAAATCAACACACATATATATAGTAGTATATTAAATTGTAAGTGTCCAAGGAAAATATAACTGACAGGGTGTTGGGTTGGTTTTTTTTTTTTGCATGTTTTTATAAACTATAGGCCTGGATTGTAAACTTTGATATTGATGTTTGCCATGCTTCTTTTGGCACAGTTTTTGTGGTGAGCTTATTTGGAGGGAGAGTGCTTGTGATTTGATGCATAGACCTGGGATCTAAGATGTCTCTGTCCAGTTCATCTATAAGTCTGATGCAGCACAGGTGCAGAGTCACTTTTGCCATAGTTACCTATAAAATAATACCAAGGTTGGGCCTCAGTAAGTTAACAGACATACAAGCATGCTGCAGAGTGTGTGCATCTGAGAACATTTCTTACAGCCACAGATCTATTTCATTTACTAATTTAGTTTAAATGGAATCATGAGGTAGCGGTCTTAAAAACAGAAAATGTGGTCTGCAGTCATCATAGTACTTTACACGTTTACTTCATTGCTGAATGCCTTGCTCATATTCACGGGAAAGCATAAAAGGAAATACATTTCTTTCTTTTAGTGAAAATCATGTTAATGTTTTTGTATTGCAGTTTGTTCATGAAAAAGAAATTGTAGCAGAAGATGACCAAGTGTTTCTTATGAAGCAGCAGGTAATTTTCTGTCTATAAAACAAGCAGCCAGTGTTTCATTTAACAATATTCTCAATACAAATTTGGGTTTGTAGTCTTAGTTACTGTAATATCTAACACTACATGGGTGTTTTGGTTTTTTTGCAGTCACAGTTGGCGAAACAACCACCTACTGCTGCAGGAAGGCCAGTGGTTAGTAACAAAAATTTTAAATATCATCACTTGAATATGATTCACTTTCATATATTCAGAGGGTTGCTTGTTTTAATTGCACTGTCAAATACTCTTTGATCTAATATTTTTTTAAACTACATAGTGTTTAAAGTCTGTATCATATGCTGCTCTAAAATTATGACACTTCTTCACAGCTAGTCATGACAACTTGTATTGACAGCAAGGGCTAAATGTCATGGCTTTACTTTTCATATGTTCGAATGCTTTTAAGCAGTTCGTTGACTGCCCTTCCTGTCCTAAGAGTGTGACAGGAAGCAAACTATGTTGGCTGAATTGCCTTGGTGAGTTTTGTATCCTAAATTTGGCACCATCTCTCTAGGAATATTAAGACTCTGGCATAAAATTAAGGTCAAATGAAAACTATGACATAATTGACATTAAAAGTACAAATAAATAACTAAAAGGTAACACAAGTTTAATGGGGAGCATGTGATCCTATAAAGGTAGTTTTACCTTTTTAGATGAATTGCAATTCTGCAGAAACATGACTTGCTATCCTTGAAGTAATAAATAATGCTTTTTTTTCTCTCCTGGGCTGCATTTAGTCCTTTCCCCAGGATTGGTGGTATGTGGCGTCTTTCCAAGAAATTTGGTGTAGTTCCTCTATGATCTAATCAGTGCAGTTTTCATTACAGTCAGAGGCACTGCTGAGTAACAAGATTTTCAAGTTTCTCATTGACATAACATGAAAAGATAATATTTGTAAGAATGTTATATAAGTGTAAAAAAACCTTGTACACAATCATCAAAATCTAATTCTGTGTCATGTTGCATGGGATACTACATTATGAAATAAAAAAGATTAGGAGCTGTGAGAACAAAAGGCTTCATTTCATGTACTTTACAGTGCATGATTTAATTCTGTAGAAGATGACTAGTTCAGCTTTGGAATTTTTCTTTTTTTTTTTCTTTTTTTTTCTTTTTTTTTTTGGCATAGGATGCCTCCCCAAGAGTTCCTGGAGGATCTCCTAGGACACCAAATAGATCCGTAACATCAAACGTTGCCAGTGTTACACCTATCCCTACTGGGTCAAAAAAAATTGATCCTAATATGAAAGGTACCTTTTCTTACAAGGGCACAAATACGGTTGGGGAAGTAAAATAGCTGCTTTGTCTGCTTTCTTTAATACACTTATTTGGATTGACTAATGCACAAAATCAGTATTTACTTAGAAAACCTGTTTGTTTTGGTTTTGTGTTGTGGTTTTTTCCCCTCCCCTTGTAGCTGGAGCTACTAGCGAAGGAGTCCTGGCTAACTTCTTCAATAGTCTCCTGAGCAAGAAAACTGGTTCCCCTGGTGGCCCTGGCAGTGTTGGTGGCAGTCCAGGAGGCGGCGGCACAGGAAGTGCTGGCAGCAACTTGCCACCATCAGCAAAAAAGTCAGGTATGATTAATGATAAAAGATCAACTCGATCTGAATTGTGAGTGGGGGATCATTCCTATTAGTATAGTTTATCAAAAGTATGAACACTACTAACGTGCCTAACTAAACTGATGTTTTATTGGATGTGGTTTTTGCTTTTGTTTTCACAGCAGGTCAGTATTACCTTTTTATGACTCTCAGAGGATCAAAGAAAAACATTTCATGTAGCTGTTTAAGCGTGAATTGTGTCCACATGACTACTTCATTTTTCTTTTGTTCCCCACCATCCCAATAAATGGCTTATGCTATGAGCCATTTTTAATATTATTCATATATATTTGGACTTAACTTCAGGTTGATTTTTTTTTTTAAACAATACTGTCTGTTAAAATTACTTTAAATTGTCTTTTGCTAGTGATCTAGGTCTGATGTGATGAAGGTTTTGGTTGTTTGAGTTTGGTGACAGTCTATAAATCTACTTATGTATTTTCTGTTGATAGCCTTTTTTATATGATATGATTAGTAATTCATATTTGTTTAAAAATGTCTAATAGCGACTGCTCTAAATCTAGATGCAAGACTACTCTGATGCTTCTTGCTATTCCAGATTAAAATGTTTCAGTATTACTTAAGAACATACATATACAGACATCTTCCCTCCCCCCTTGCCCAGAGATTAGTAATGCTGCACTTAAGTGAGAATGCTGGTGTTTCATTGGTACTTGACATTAGTGCTTACATTTATATAGTAAGAGGAAAAAACACCTCCCTTCCCGCTAATATTTTGTGTAGACTGACCCTGAAATTTTTTTTCTACGTGTGTGCACTTCCCTTTTTTTGCAAAGCTCAGTTGGCTGAGCAAAGTTTATGAGTACTTCCTAATCTGCTGCAGGCAAAATCAGCAGCACTGCTCTGAACAGCATATGGAGATTGTTCAGCCAAATGCAGCTGATGCCATATGAGATGCAGGGGGCACCTGCTGAAAAATCCTCTGGGGAGTGGTTGCCAGTGGGTTTGAGTGATGCCAGGTAGATGGAGGCAGTGCTCCAGAAAAGTGGTGTGTCTGAAGCCACGGCAGAAACTTCAAGAACAGAATTAAACTACTAAGGAGAAAAAATGTTCTCAGAAACTTGCTACTGTGCAACAAATGAAGTGTTAGGGTGTAGCCAGTTTATAGGTTTTCAAGGAATTACCATCAATAAAAATGTATGCTTAGATGTAGCCTCTTCACCTTCCTCAGTATTTCCTGTCTTGTGCTTAGTGTTATCTATTACGGTCACTTGTCAAATCTGAAAATTGGCTGTTAAGACAGTAGTTTGGGGTTTTAGAATTACTTTTCCCCCTAGCAGCTAAGGGAAAATTCTTCTGCTTATTAGTTGCAATATTAGCTGCTTTGATTTGGATACGGTGGTAGCTTGCTTTAAATGATTTGAAGAGCAGCACAGTCCATCTGGCAAAAATTAGCTTTGTGGATAGTTCCTGTTAATTTGCATCTTGAGAAAGGATGCTGGGACACTGCTAAAACTACATTGTGTCAGAATTTTCCTTTACAGCCCGAGATGCTGTGCACACTTACCATAGTGTTAAGACTGTAATGTCCTGCCCTGCCTTTTCCCATGTTGTCTTCTGCATTCTTGTGATAGGATATGGCAAGATAGAAACCTAGACTGGGAAGTAGGGTAAAATGATGGGGAAAAAATGGTGTGTGTTAAGCTTGGATCAGGTCTAGGTGTGACTGCACAAATGTTTGTGCCATCCCAAGTTAGGGAGGAGGTAAGCGGGTGAGGAGAGAAAGGGATTTGCCATTTGCAGGTCTGCGTGCACCCATGAGCAGCGAGCAGTGTCAGGTTTATGCTGACCAAGTATGTAGAACAGAATTCACTGGTCTGTGGTGAAGCCCCCGATTTACATTTAGAATTATTTAAAATACATATGATGCAGAAAATTGTGTAGAAGTATTCATAACTGCTATCCTTACTAGACTTTTCTGTATTTTACATTAACTCTTTATATACTGACAATTCATATATAATTATGTAAGTTGCTTTGAGAAATTGGAAATACGGAAGGATGTGACTTTCTGCTGTTTCTTTTCTGTTTCTTTTGGGTTTTGGCCTTATGCCTTTACTCTGCACTCAGTGTGCAGTAACAATTTTTAGGATTTGTCTGATGCAAAAACTATGTGGGTTTTGCTTTTTTGTTCAGTTTGACAGGTGTTTCTTGAAAATGAAAGATACTGTATGCTTTCCCAAAACTGTGACTGAATGATACGCATTTCTTTTGTAGGTCAGAAGCCAGTTTTAACAGATGTTCAGGCAGAATTGGACAGAATTTCACGAAAACCTGAAATGGTCTCTCCTACAACACCTACATCTCCCACAGAAGGTGAAGCATCTTGAAGGCACCAAATAAAACCAATTGTTCAGTTTTTCTGGGATAATTCAAACTTGCCTCTGCCTCTTCCTTCAGTGACTGGAACTAAAGAACTGAAATATCTTTCAGAACACAAACAGTTGATGTCTGTCTTTCTTTCATATGTGTTGCCCAACTTTACAAAAGGGAGCTGTACAGATGGAAAATGGTTATCACATCACGTAGGAGTACCGTTCACAGTGCAAGAATAGTAAATCAATTTTTTTCAGGGTTTTGTGGAAAAGTCAGTGTAATTCTGTAAAATTGCAAGTATGTCCACTTAAGTGATAGGGGTTGCTTAGAGCAGAAAAACTGATACACACCACAGGCACTTAATTTATATTATTTCCCAACCTGTTTGGCAAGTTTAATACCATCTTAAATAGATTAACCTCTAAGGGAGAGAACTACTAGTAGTTTTTGGAAGAGAAAATTAATTGCTCAAAACTATGACAACAAACTCCAGTTACACTTGAACACTTCATTTGGAGCATGGTTAAAAAAAATCTGTTTGATCTCTGAGATTTACACTGCATTCAAAAGCCCATGTGAAAATTCATTCCAGATATAAGACTAAATTAGTGGCCAGGTTTTTTTTTTTTGTTTTTCTCTTTGATTAATTTCAGACACTGAATCAAAGATGTATAAAGAAAAAGCAGAGGTTAAATGTACAGATTATCAGTATCCAGATTTGTCTATATATATGGCTTGGCCTTAATGTCCCCCACTATGTTTCCCACATTAGTTACGGTTTAAAATTGGTCATCAAAACTGTAATCAGTTAATAAAGTATTCTCTGCATTCAAATTTAAGTAACTTTCACTGAAGCCATGGTGTTCTTGTTTGTTTACTGTTAAATCTAAGGAAGTGGTGTGAAACATCGTAAAACATGCTTTTATATTTTACCTCTCAGTGAATAATATCCCTGGTAGATATTTAAACTTCCTTAAAACATTGTTTCTGGAAGGAAGTGGGTAAGTCTGCAGTGTTTGTTCCTAGGAGTAAAACTAGCTTATCTGACCTGGGTGGTTTCTGCTGTAATGTGTTTTAAAGGCATGCTAGTTACACTAAGGATCCTGCTGATGTCTCCAATATATTGTCCAAGAAGTAGTTGACCGAGCTTAGGACTTTACTTAAGCTTCCAGTATGCAAAATGTTGAGCATCACTTTACTGTCTTGTTTCAAGTTTGTGGTTGCTTTCTACTGGTAGCCACAGAATAGTAAGTGTAAAAAGTATATCCTGATCAAATGATTGCCAAGAGTCTTCTTTAATGCCTTCAGGTTTTTCAGTTTTTTTAAATCAACAAGTCTTATGTTAATTTCTCTGACTATTTAGAAAATGTCTGCAACACTGAAGAAGAGGGGGTAAATCCTCTTTATTTGGAACATGGCAGTACTCTTTCCTCCAGTTCCTGAACTCTAGTGGTTCTAGTGAATTACCTCCATATTTTCAAAATATCTAAATTTACTTAAGAACAATATACATTTTGTTGCAGGCTGAACTCCCTGAAGTTAAGCATACTTATTAAAATTTTCTCGGAATATTGAATTGTGGACTGACAAGCCTCAGTAGAGATTCTTAAGTGTGGATCAATTGTTCAAACTGGAGTCCTTAAGATTTTGCTTATGGCAGCGATTCAGTAAAGGTGGCACATGGGGAAATGCATGACCTGCTGATGAACAGCTGTATAGAATAAATTGTGTCTTGAAGAAAAAAAATTAAGCTTCAGTATTAGAACAGTTCTCTAGATTCTGTACATAAACTTCTTGAAACAGAATTTGAAATGTGCTGGAGAGAAGGGGTCCTGCTTGTATCATCACCAGTATGCTTCCTCGTACAGCTGCAGTGGTATTGTGTTGGCAGGGTGAAACTTTGGTTTTTAGGACAATGTCTCAAACTAGTTGGTACTGTCCAGGTTTTCGAAAGAAAACTTTAGCTCCTGCGATCTTTAATTAGTTCACGTGAGCATCTGTCAAAGCTCACCACCCTTTCCAAAGCTGGAAAACTAGACATCTAATATATTAAGAACTATTGCACTAGGTGCCCCTTTTTTTGTGGAAGCTGGGACAGGGGAAGACCTTACTAATGACTCATTATAATTTCACTTCTTAAAACAAAATTGGCAAAGTGTCACTTCTGCATATTTAACACTTCTAAATGTATTTCTTCTTCCCTAAACCCTGATAGCTCTTTGGTTTTGTTTTTTAATTATTATTTACAAATTATTATTTACAAAAAGGCTTTCTCCCTTTCCATTCTGTAAGTAGCCTGCTTCCCTCCTTAAAGTTCAAATGACACTAAAATAAGACCTTAAGGTATCTTTACCACAAAAAGAAAACACCTGAGAGTGTGTTTCTGTGTAACCTGATGGCTTGGGCTTCTTGTTTCCCTCTGATGGGACCAAGCCTACTGGGCTGGTCGCTTTGTCCTCTTGAGTTGCAATTCCCCTGACTACTGCTTGGATGGGAGTAGACGATTAAGGTGGGGTTTACCCGAGCTGTCGTGCAAAAGGAGTCTCTGTGACAGAAGACCCTTTTCACAAAATGTAGCGCCAGTCAGTCCTTCTCCCTGTCCTCCCTCCTTCCCCATCAAGTCAGAGCGCCAAAACTATGTAAGAAAGAAAGTGGGTAAAGCAATGGAGCTCATTTGGCAATGATACTTCTGCATAATCCTTTATTGTGCCTTCGTACCCTAAGCTGTAGATGGGTGATGAGCCCAATTTTAAAAAGAATAACAGCATGAATAACTTTAATCTTGCTTCTAATCACTCTTGTGTTGTCTTTAATACTTCAGCATCATTTGGTAGAAAGTTTCAGTCCAGCACACAAGATGCAGAAAGCAAAGGGGTAATACAAGAACTACAGGGGATGATTTTTTGATAAAGAACAACTAACGCTTTTTAAATGCTTTGCAGTATGAATACTGCAAAAACACTACAAAATAAATAAACCAAATAAATTCCTTTAGACTTTCAGGGCTAGTTCCCTGTGAGAAAAGGAACTGATTTGCTTCAAATGAAACTGTTCTGGGGTAATTTTACAAATCTCTTCCTCCTTCTCTCTACCATGTTCCTACATCAGTTCTTTGAGTATACTGATTGTAATAAAGCTGTTCTGCAGAATTTAAACTTGAAAATTTTGAGTTAAATGGCCACTTTATTTCCAGACAGTTCCTATTTTTCAGCTGAAAATGGCAGTCTCTGAAATGTGCATGTGACTTTTAGGTTATATGGACTAGCTACCATACTATGCTGACCTTAAATTTCTAGTGATACATCTAAAATGCAAGTACTGGCCCGTTGGGCTGCAGTCTCTTCTTGGGGAGCAAACTTAATTTGCAGTAGGGCAGCTGCAAACCGTTGTCTGTCAGCTACCTCACGGCTTTGTGCTTCTCTGTGCCATGCAGAAAACCACTGACAAGAGTTGGCCTAACCCTGCATTTGGGAAATGTGGAGAACTGAGGGTTTTTTTCTCTTGTGCCATAAGGGATACTCAGAAATAGCTGTTAAAAATGCTAATTCTTCATCTTCAGCTGTTTAGAAATCACACATTCTACCACGTTAGTATGGTGATCGGGGTTTGTGAAGTTCAGTTGCAATACTGAGCCCAAAATTAGAGCCTCAAGAGCTGAAGAATCTTCAGCAGAGGCAACACATTCAAGTCTTTCCTGAGCTCTTTGTCGCAGTACTTGGAATATTCCATTTGCTAGCTAGGCATCCCATATTTACTTCATGTAATACACGGGGCTAGAGTCACAAACAAAAGCTGCTGAGGTGCCCATGTGGGAACACCAGAACCGAGACCAGGGAGAGAGCCGTGCCTCCGCCTGGCTGACTTCAGTGGAGCTCCCCAAATTGTGCAGTAGCAATAAACCTCACCACCCTTCAAAGGAAACAGAGGCCACCTCCTTCAGTGGTTTGGGCTTTTAAGCCACTTTCCCGTTCCTCTACTGCCTTCTCCCTCACCCTCCGAGAAGAAAAGCAAAAAAAAACCCCACAACTGCATGTATGAACATGGGAAAAGGAGAATACTCATTTGTGAGGTCAGTGGAGCCCTGCTGCCAATTCCGAGCACGAGGGACTTGCGCTTTGGCGTCATACTGTGACGCAGCACAAAGCTAATGCCAAAGAGCCACTGGGGTGTCACTTTATGAAAAGTGACACAACCCTGGCCTGCATTCACCTTATTCCAGTGGCTGGCATTTGCTCAACTGCTTCAAGGAACTCCAGTCACACTTTTCTTTCTGTAAATTATTTCAACATCAGTGGCGAGGAGTGGTAACTGTGTAATCTCCCGTAATGAGGTGGCTTTCTCAACTTAATTGGTATTGCTTTTTGGCCACTATGGTGGCTATCTTTGCTGAAGATGTAACGAGGGAGAAAACTGGGTCGCTCATCGCTGACCTGCTTCCACCGATCTCCCGCTCCCTGCCTGGCTGACTGGAGGTGCTACCGTAGCTCAGGATCTGACTCCAGGGCTGCTTCTCTGCCGCCGTGTCCTGTAGCTCTGGTCCTGCCATTCCAGCGCAGGCCCTGGGGGCGGGAGGTAAGAAAGACTTCTCTTTTAAGAGAACTCCATCAGGTGTAGCACGCAAACAGAAGGAAATGACTAGATGTACATCTGGAATGGGATTTCCATTACATCACAGCCAGCTAATTACAGTTCTTTGCATTACACAGGCTTGTTATTTATCGTAACTTGCTTTGATTTTCATTCCCTCTTTAAAGGAGAGATACTGTACTTGAAAGACAGTGCTGATGAAAAGGGTGAAGAATACCTGCAGTTTGTGTGAACAGCAGCATTTGTATGCTTTAACATAATGCTTGAAGTATTTTTAAGCTGTCGGGTCCTATGCTGTTGTCCAGTTTTCATTCCTTCTCTATCACATGGTCTTACAGTTCCTGTAGCTTTGCTGTTGTTTTGCTTTTCCTGCACCTCCTTCTAGTTAAATAAATAAAAAAGTGGCCTAAATAAGTTAGGCTTCAAATGGCAAGCTAGCCTTTAGAATTCATGCATCACTGCTATATATTTCCTGGAGAAGGCCTGAACAGGAAAAGCAACTCTTAAATAGGACAGCAGTAACTAGAAAAAGGTTGCCATATATTTTATCTTTTGTAGGCTTGTCTTGTGTTTCCGTGACTCCTTGTAAAGCAGTCTCTCCTCAAGATAGTCATCTTCAATGCTAACATCTGTGTTCACAATCTAGTAATGCTGCATTAAGATGCTGGTAAAGATTCAAAAGGGAACAACTACAAAATAGCCTTAGATGCTACCGAACGCCTTAAAAGAACTGACAATTGCTTCTATCTCCGTTAAGTCCCGTCTCCCTCAGACCACAGCATAGCCTAGTCACACGCTTTGTGGCTTTGGAGTTATTCAGCCAGTTTTGAGATCAAGGAAGAAAACAAAACAAAAAGGGAATTTCCTTCAGAACAGAGACGCCCAGAGATGCCAGCCTCTGTAATGTAATCTCATTTATCGTGTACTAGTATGAAAAAAAGGTAATGAAGGCACTGGGGACTCGTAGGTGGCAACAGTAAATGTACTGACTACACCTACCTGCTCAGTCCTGCAGTCTGGGATGCCGCCAGCAGTGCTATGTCAGACTCATCCCAACCCCGGGCAGGAGCTAGGGCACACCCACAGCGATACCTTACTTGTTTTAGCGGAAACTCCCATGCCTTGGGAATTACGGGACTTGCCCTACTCATTTGCCTCTCAAGCCACGTCCTGCAGCCGAACGTTGTTTATGGCACAGACAAGTCTGTACCATCCTGCCTGGGGACCCCGCGCGTTCCCCTGCCTTGCGTCGTCTTACCGGG